CCGCCGCCGCCGCCGCCGCCGCAGCCGCCGCCGCCGCAGGGCAACCCCCGCCTGCTTACAACCCCGGCGACGCGGCGGAACGAAATGCAAGCCTCGGCGGCAGCAATGGCGGCGGCGGCGGCGGTGGTGGTGTAGCCACCACCTCGCGCATAGCAGCAACGCCTCCTGCGGGGGGTTCCGGGCCCGGGCAGACGGCGCGCCCGGGTGTGTCTTCTTCCTCTTCCGCTGGGCGGAGGGCGGAAAGCCCGGTCCCGCCGCCCCGAGCCTTCTCGGCGTTCGACATGATGCCGTCCCTCGCTTCCGAAGACGAGAGCCTGGACGACGACGACGGAAACGCTGCGAGCAGCAGCGACGGGGGCGGAGCAGCAGGAGGGGACAACGACAGCATTGTCTCCGACTCCGTTAGGTCAGTCGGGTCCCGGTCAGCGGGCGGCGGGGGAGGGTCCAGCAACCTCAACGGCCGGGTCTTGGGTGGGTTTGGCATTGGCATTGGCGGCGGCGGCGGCGGCGGCGGCGGCCGTTCGTCCCCGTCCCGATTGGGCGGCACCGGCGGCAAAGCGGGCATGCGTACGAGTTCTACGCCGCCGCCGAACCGGGCAGGCGGCGGGGGGATGCGGGGAGCCTGGGATTTCCTCCCCTGGGGTGTGGGAGGGAACTCCAGCGGCCAGTCTCCGCTGTCCTCCAGCCAGCAGCAGTTCGGCGGCGGGGATGCGACGTCGAGCGTCGGCGTCGGAGCCAGCGACATGGACGACGACGACGGCTTGGCGGCGGGGGGGGGGGAGGCCTGGGACCGGCGAGGGGACCGTGCCTCGAGGGAGAAGGCGCACCGGCGGGCGCGGGCGGAGCTCAAGAGGTTCGCGGCGTCGAGGAAGTTTCCGACGAACGTCGGGGTGGTGCAGGTCCACTCGCTCGGGAAGGTCAAGCCCGAGCCGGGCTTCTATGCCCTGGGGAGGCTCGCGCCGGTGGGCTTCCGGGCGTCGCGAACCGAGCGGTCCCCCGACGACGAGTCCCTGGTGCACTGCGTGATGGAAGTGGTCGAGGTTCCGGACCCCGAGGAGGCGGGGACGGCGGACGGAGGTAGTGCCGACGCCCCCGCCGCGACAGGCGACAGCGGCGCGGGCTCCGCCGCGGCAAGCGGCGGAGCCCCCGATAACGGCGCCGGGGATGATGCTGGCCGGCCCCCGCCGGAGGCGGGAGGGGAGGCAGGGGACGGCGGCGGGACTGCGAAGACGGTCGCCGTCTTCCGAGTCACGTTGTCCGGCCTGAAGGGGAAGCGGGGAACGTTCCAGGATGTTTCCGCGGGGAAGGCTTGGCGCGCCGCGCTCCAGAGCATCGGAGCAGAGGTGGGTGAAATTGTTTTTCGTTTAAGGCTGGGTGTGCGTGCGGTCGAAGAGGCACTCTCATCGATGCGGAAACCTTTAACAGTGGGAAATACCGAACTTGCCGAGTGTTGTCAGCGCTATGAGAACATATAGGCCTCTCTCTCTCGTGCGGCCGAGATCCGAACAGCTTTTGCAATCAGTCCCCGCCGGGGTCGATGAATGCACGCCTCGGATGTCGAGCTCGTGTCTCTCGGCTCCGCAATAAAGTTATCACGATGAAGAGTTTCTTTCCTTGTGACGAGTGCGGGTTCTCAGTGAAGCGGGGGGCGCGACCCCCGCCCGCCGATTCCGGCAGCGTGCCCGGCGAGGTGGTCGCGTTGGGCGCTAGAGTATTTCTTGTGTCTGTGCTTTTTTCCCTTTCAGCGTTGAGGGAAACTTGGGGGGGGGGGGGGTGTACTCATAGTCGTGCATGCCGTAGTCGTTTGACCATTGACCTCGCATCCCTACAAAGCCGGGACGGAGCACGCCGGGTTCTCACCGGACCAGGCTCTCACATCACCAAGCGCGAAGCGCCGTGAGGTATTTGGCGAGTCGCATGAAGGGTGAGCTGCATCCTGCTAAGGGTGTTCGGCATCTTGTGCTTACTTCCTTGCGTACGGATGACAGCTACGTATGACTTAATTTATTTTCTGGTGCTTTCACTTCCAGAGACAGTTGTAAGCACTGTGTAACTGCCTCGAGGAAGCTTGACCATTTTAACACAACGTGGTGCGATCATCCCCCGTTGCGCGGAGTGAGGTTTCTCGACCCCGCACAACATGATCCACTCGACCACCATAATGGTTACCGCCAAAAAAAAAAAACCGAGGTAAAAAAAAAAAAAACGGTAACCTGATTGCCGAGTTCACGAAGTGAATTGGCTTGTTTTACAACGTCGTTGCCAAGCGACGAAAACCCAATCCCGATGGCAAACACCGAGTGGGGGGCTTGTTTTACAACGTCGTTGCCAAGCGACGAAAACCCAAACCCCGATGGCAAACACCGGGGGGGGCGGCGGCTTGTTTTACATCGTCGTTGCCAAGCGACGAAAACCCAACCCCGATGGCAAACACCGGGGGGGGGGGTTAAGTAGTTTATTCCCGTCAGAACCAGTGCCGTTGCTGATGGAAGGCAAGGTGGAGACTCGCTCGCGCTTCAAGCCTTCCCGAAGGCGCCAGTCTATACTCTCTTACTGTCTGCGTTTGATGGATACGTGTGGCCTTTTTGGGGGATTTTTCCCAGCCAATTCCAGTGCCGGTGCCGGCCGGGTGGGGATGGAAGGCAAAGCGGAGATTGGCTCGCGCTTGTGAGCCTTCCCGAAGGCGTCAGTTAGCCCTGGCAGCGTTCGTGCTTTTTTGTGTCCTTCCTCCGCAAAGCTGCCCCAATGCACAAACGAGATCCCTGCGTGTACGGAAGGGTTGTCATACCCTCACACCATGTACACATCACCTTTTCGATATGTATATATTGTTTTCTCAAGCGTGTTTTCTGGGGTGTTTTTCTCTCCCTAGGTGTTGGTTTTTGTGCGCCACTAAGTAGTCTTACGGCCACTCCTGTGTTGGCCCTTTCACCTCTTGGGGCCACTCGTTGCCTATCCTTTGTTTGCGTTGTGTCACACCCATTAACTCTTTGGCCCCTCCATGCATGCCTGTTTGTTCCTGGTGTTGGTCACTAATTTGCTCTTGGGGGTCAATCGCACTCGTGGCATGTTTGTCTTGTGTGTTGTTTTCCACAGGTGGCCCCGACCGGCCAGGAAGACTACTTCCCTTCGTGGGAAGGCGACGGAGAGGACGGTCTGGTCGACACCGGCGATCCGGTTACCGACGACAACAGCAACGACAATGACGGTGGAGACAAGGACGGGGAGGAGCAGCAGCAAGCGGAGAAGCAGAGCCCGGGGGCGGCGGCGGCGGTGGCTCCTCCAGCGGTCCACGCCGGAGATGGTGATGTCGTCGGCAGCAACGGGGCGGAGCACAAGGCGGAAGAGGTGAGGAGTGACGACGATTGGAGAAGAGGCGCACCGGTTTGTTGGGGTCGTCAGTCTGCCTGGCCGGTTTCGCGTCCTGCCGATGGAGCCGCAGCACGAAAAGAGTGTACGGTTTCTCAAATAGTCTAGTCGCTCTTTTTTTTGGTTCCCAGTCGGAGCGTCCGAAGCTCTCCTGTGTTTGGGGCGGAGATGGGGTGAAATCGTTGAACTTTGACCACGTGTACTTGGGTCTGCGAAACGCACGAGTCAAAACGGGGGGGGGGGGGGGGGGCCCCGGGACCAAAAAAGGCCCCCCCCAATCGGGGAGGGTTTTCCTGAAAGGGGGGGTTTTCCCCCCCCAAAACTGAACATTGCGGGAATTTTACCCCGGCCGTTTAGGCAACCCGGAAAAAAGGGAAGGCGAAGGGGGACGGCCCCGGGGGGGGGTTTTTTTCCCGGGGGAAAACGGGGGGGGGAAAAGGGGGCCCCCCCGGACCCCCCCCCCGGGGGGGTTCCCCGGGAAGAACCCCCCCCAACACCGGGAACCCAC